GGATGGTTCTGCTCCAAATACTCACGTGACTCCCTCTTTCACTTTCTGCACCTTCTCACTGAGGCATTTCCTGGGCATCCTATCTAAAATTACAATCCCGTCTCTCCATACCAACCATCCTATCTCCCCCACCTGCCTTGCATCTTGAGCAGTGGCTGGCACAAAGTAGGCTCTCAGAAAATATTAGTCCAATGAATGAAGGTAATTAGAGGTAATAAGAAGAGCTACCTCTTAGGTAGAAAGGTAGGAAGAAAGCAAATGAGATAAGTACTTTGTACATGTTAATGAACAATAACTGTTCRTTATTCACATTCATATCCTATACCCTTGTGGATCTGTTGGAAATAATTTTTAATCAGGAACTGCAAGAAGGGAAGGAGAATTTCCAGTTAAGAGGGACGGTGTAGAAGTATATGGTTTTGCATACCAGCCTCAGGCAAGGTAAAGACACTTGCTGGAAACACTTAGAGTTTGGCTCAGATAACCAGCTAGCACCCTACCCTGGAAGATGAGGAGAAGAGATGGGTGTGGGAGGCAGCTGGGACTTGTGTGAATGGATCTGTTGGGTCTGCACACAATCTTCAGATGACTCAGGGTGAGACCTCCAGACTGCAGACTGCCATGTCTGAGGCCCACCTTGAGCATCCCTAGTAGCATGCAGCTTCCTGGGCAAGAGGCAGGGCTTCCGGGATCTATGTGTCCCCAGGACTGAATGTGCACACTCTAAAGTAACAATCTAAGTCAGGGAAAGGGACTGCTGCACATGTTCACACCCTCTTTAATAGGATGCTTTGCCTCCAAAGTGCAGATTGTCATAGCAAGTAACAACCCCAGGATCTCCATTAGGCTCCCTAGTGTCACACACAACAGTGTACAACATTGTTTCAACGTTTTTGCTTACATTCCCAGGATAATGATCATTTACAAAACATCTTAAGGTGAAAATGTAATTTTTTAAAAGGCAATCTAATTCTTGAAGCTATAAAGAACACACAATTCTCCAAAACCTTCCTATCCAGATACAGTTATTTGATTAGCTGGTATAGACAAAGTTGATGAATAAAATTCCTTTGTAAATCATATCACCTTTGGATTTTATAACACAAAGTTGATTTCCATGGATTTTCCCTAAACTTCACTGAGTGACTTCCTATTCTTCTATTAAACAGACCTGGGAAGAGAAGCAAAGAAGCTATGCTACCGCTCCTTCTAATGGCATGGGAAGACACAGAGGGAGGTACTGTGTCCTGCTAAGGATGTGATGATGTCAGATAATCCTTCTAAACCTCTAGTTTCAAATAGGGTGCAGAGGTATCTCTATACCACATGCCTCACCATTTCTCCACAACTTGGTTTCCCACACAGAGTTTGAACTTTGCATGCTAACTCAGTGCCGATGTAGCCAAGGATCTCTGAGCTCATCTTATTTAGAGTGGAGACCTTGGAGTCTCTATACTGGAGTGCAGGTTATTCCAGAGCATAGGTATGCATAGATATGCATGTATGTGTAAATACGTACATATGCCATATATGCATATATTATGAGAGAACAAATAAATAGAAGATGCTAGATCATGAAAGGAAGGAAGCAAGCAAAGTCATGAGAAGGGAGTGGGAAGGAATCAGCAGGTGTTAATTCCTAGGATGACCCAGACACCCAGCAAAGAAGGCAGTGTTGGGAGACAGAACAGGGCTATGCAATTATCTAGACGTTAAAGAACGAACTTGTAAAGTTCTCCTTCCTTGAAGGAGAACGCTGTGAAACAAACCTGGCAGCCCATCAGGGAGCACTTGTCAAGGCATTCAGAGGGAGAACAGAGGCTGGAGGGCACTGATTTGGGCTTTGTCTCCCCTAGGTGCTGGGCTGCTATCTTGCCATGAGTCAAGTTATCTCTGAAGTTCTGCTGAGCGGTCTCGATAGCATGACTTAAAAGTACATGTCCCTACAGGAATCAGCTTCCCAGCATACAAATGCTCAGAGAATGAGAAGAGTCCAGGAAAAACCAACCCTTTAAGCCCTAGAGGATGCTAACAGTCTTCAAAATGATAAGGATCCTAGAAGACTATGCATTGGAGGTTCTTGGATTTGGTGTCTTTTTTAAATTTTTTTTTTTCCTTTTGGTTGATTTCCTTTATTTTACTTAGGAGCCCTCCAAATTTCTGTAAATGCATTTTGTGGTTGCTCTGAACCATCTGAGGTGAGGGGCAGGAAGAGTGGCCTGGTAGAGTCCCTGAGTAGATATAAGCAGAATCAGGACCAACTGAGCTTGGGATGTGACAGATAGCAATGAGAAGAACCACTAGGGAGAGCTTGAAAGCAAGCCCTCGGGAACTCCTGGTTAGGAAATCCTGGCCGATGACAGGTTTCTCTTGGATGTCCCTTTGCTTTCTCTACATCCCAAGTTTCAGCGTCATTTTTTAACTAGAGCAGCTTCTCTGCCTTCATTTGCATTTGGGGAATCATTCAATCTTTCTTCACCAGACCTATGTGTTAGTAAGCTTTTTATTGCTGTAACCAAAATACCTGACCAGAACAACTTAGAGGAGGATAGGTTTATTGGGGATCACATTTTCAGAAGTCTCAGTCCACAGATAGCAGACTCTATTGCTCAAGGCCCAAGGTGAGGCAGGACATCATGGTGGAAGGGCATGGTGGGGAAGCACTGCTCGATTCATGGCATCCAGGAAGCAAAGAAAGGAAGAGGGGACCACAGACCAGATGCACCCTTCCAGTGACTCGGCTCCTCCAGCCATGCCCCACTTGCCTATAGTTACCACCCAGTCAGTCCATTCAAACTAGGCTGGACTGATTAGGTTACAGCTCTCAGAATCCAATCATTTCACCTCCAAACATTCCTGCATTAACACAGGAGCATTGGGGGGATACCTAAATCCACACCATAGCATGCTAGATCCCTACTCTATGCCACGTAACTTTTCAGTGCCCTTCCAGTGTGGACTGGGAATCTGCTTGGCCTCTTGACTTTGAACTCGGCCATATGATTTTCTTTGGCCAATAGGATATTTAAAAGATGTCATGTGGGCAAATGGTTGAAATGAACTTGCTTCAACAATGAGGCATATTCTTCAACCAGAAAAATAACAGGCACAAGACAAAGGTGCCTCAGTCAAGTTTACCCTAGAATAGAGCCTCTGACAAACCCACAGACATTCAAAAAGCTCAGTTGATATAAGCAGAGCCACTAAGTCCAACCCTGGTCAAAATGCCTGAGTCTCGTGGGTGATAAATAAACGTTTAATGTTGGATGCCACTGATGTTTATGATTGTTTGTTACATGGCAAATGCTAACTGATACAAGTGCCTGTAATTCATGTTCCTCATGTCTTCCAGAGTGATATGTTTAAAATGGAACTCCAGCTATCCTAAAATTATTCTGCCTAAGGACCTTTAAAAACTTCATGTTTGGTACTATTGCTCTATAATATAGTTTAAGGTCTGGTATAATGATGTCACCTGCTTCACTCTTCCTGCTAAGGATTAAATTGTAATGCATTCCATTGTCATTTATTTTTTTTWAAAAACATAACCATCATCATCATCATCAAAACAAAACAACAATAGAAACAACAAAACCATATCATGTTTAGGCTGAATTGTGCTGCCCCAAAATTCATAACTTTCAGAACCTGGGAATGTGATCTTATTTGGAAGTAGGGTAATTACAAATTTAATTAGTTCAAATGAAGTCATATTGGAGGAGGGTGGGCCCCAAACCCAACATGACTGGTATCCTTATAAAAAGGGAAATTTGGAGTTAGGCACACAGGGAGAATGCCACGTAAACATGAAGGTCAAAGTTAGGATGATGCATTTATAATCAAGGAACATCAAAGGTGCCCAGAAAACCACTAGAAGCTAAGGCAGAGATAGTCCAGATTTCCCCTCACATCCTTGGAGTGAACTAATTCTGCCAACACCTTCATTTTAGTCTTTTGGACTCGAGAAGTGTGAGACACAATACATTCTTATTAATTATGCTACTCCCCATTATCTGTAGGATAACATTCTTCCCAAAGTATGTGAGTCCTTTCATAAGTTGGTCTTGGCTCTATTTATGGTCTCTCCTTTCTGAATCCCCCTTGACTCAGCCTCACCCTAAGCACCAGCCACACTGAATTATTTTCAGAGCTTCAGTCAGAGACTTTGTCCCTGCTGATCCCTTGGCCTCAAGTGCCCTTCTTGCTACCTTTCGTCCCCTGCTGGACCCCAAATCTTTATATCAGTACTTTAGTTTGCTCAAGRTTGGGCATTATCTCTGACAACTTTCTCTTGATTTTCCAGTCCTAACTGGAAGACGCCCTACTGAATGTTCTCAAACACTCAACACAGATGTTTCGATCACAGTCCTTAACACTGGATTCTTGTTCATTACACACCTTCATCCTCATCAATAGACTTGAGGAACTTCTTGAAGGCAGTCAATATACTGTCTTTGTATTCCTAGTACCCAGCAGAATGCTTGGCACAAAGTGGCTGTGTAAATAATGTTTATGGAAGGAATCTATGTACGCTCACATGCAAATAACCAAACAGATGTGTTCTCAGAATAAAGGAGATACATTCTGTTGGTGAGACAACTGGCAGTTGAATTTGCTTGGAAGCAAAAGCACTCAATTAAAGACCAAACATCATTTCCATATTCTTCCTCTCCTTCTTTCTCTATAACTACTCAATCTCACATGCTTTATAATGCTTTTAGATGTAAGTGACTGTGAATTATTACTGACGGTAGGCCTTTCATCTTTGAGACTGACAGTCTATGTTCCCCATCTCTCAGGAGAAAGAGACTATTATAACTATATTTTTTGCTTACCAAGAGAATTGTTAATGGTTATCCTGGAGGGGAAAAAAATCTATAAATATCCAACCCTTAATGAAGCCTTAAGCTTACTTTCTTCTTCACTAAGAAAATTCTTTCTGAATGCACAACCATTACACCGACAAAGAGACAAAGCCTGTAGTGAGTTTTTTCTTTTACCTGTTTAGTCCTCATTTTGGAATCTGACGACAGGTTGTTGTAGGTATAGTGTGCCTGTGTGACTCCACAGAAGAGAACAGCGACTATCCCTGAAATTCAAAAACAGACCAGTCAAAATTAATTTTCTTTCCCATCTAAGAAGGTAGGGCCCTCCCAGCTGAAAGATAGACTTTGGTGCCAGTAGAGTCAAAACTCTTAATAATGACCACGATAATGAGACCCAGGTCAATCTCACCACCTGCTTCAAACATGAGTCTCGCAGGCTTACACATGAAGGAAGGCACTATGAAGTATTCCTAACAAAAATGAAAAGCAGATTCCTCTTGGAGATAAAGGACTCCCTGGTCATGAGTTGGAAAGTTATCTTGGAAACACATGAACAAAAGWCAGTGTAGTCACCTCTGGGCTTCTTGTAGCCAGTGCCAATTACTTTGCTGAATTTTATGTTAAATATTGATATCTTCTCTCAGACATTTGCTTTCTACTGTGTACCTTGGGGAGCCTGAAAAAGGTCCTATCATGCCATAATTTAATATTAAAAGCCATGAGTCATAGGCCTAAGTCAACAAGGGTTTTGTGGCTCCTGCCAATGCTCCCACTTGCCAAGCAAGAGAGAGAAGTCCTATGTGTTCCTTCGCCTTTTTGGCAAAGCTGGGTGCCCTGTCTTTCCACAGCTGAGTAATCTCAGGCACATTCCCGTCCACCACCCCCCAAGACCCACACTCCTTGAAAGTAAGCCGGTTGTTTTTATGTGCTTCCCAGCAGCAGTGGGCCATCAGCTAGCTGTAGGGTTCATTTCTTAAATTGCATTCTACTCTGTTTTTAATACTGTAGAAGGCAGTGTGCACTAGATGGTTCTTGGGTACACAGGAAGAGCCGTGATGAGACAAATTTGTGATTTGTCCCAGGAATTGTTACTCTCTCTGTTTTTTCCCCTGGGCTGGATTGGGGAAGTGGTGGAAGCCATGTTCCCTTTTGGATTCAAGATTAGATTGATGATGGGAAACTAGGCCTAGAAGAGGGCTTTGGAAAAGATGTAAGAAGCAAGTATTCCTCAACTCAGACCAAGGGGATTGGATTTAATTTTAAACAGCGGAATCTTGCCATCTAAAAACACTCATAAATTAAATGCTGATGATTCTTAAGAGCACAGAGATGTGTGAAGTGAATACTGACATTTCAAATGAATCTGCAATAAGGAATTTTCAAGAACTCAGTTTATCTTTTTTATATGTAAACTGTATGCATCTATTTACATGTTGGTTATTTTTCAAGTCAGCATTGGATAAGATATTGCTAAGACATATTTACATAATACAAACACATAGACATTTACATTACTTATTTGCTCCTAATACCATGCTTCCAAATTTTAGATAAAAGAATAAAAATAAGTAGAAAATACATATTCAGTAAACATTTCTAGAGATTTCAGTTTCTTAGCATCTCTTGATAAATTCTAAGGAAAAATATCTTATATTTCCCTCTTCACAGAATTTCTATTAAAAATACTGGGGAAAATTTGGGGGAGTACTGAAGCACTTTAAATACTTTAAGGGACTAGGAGGATTACCATGTGCCTTGTTTTGATAGCAAATGCTTCCCTTTGTTTTAAAATGTAATTTATCTACCTCTGTCAAATGTGTTCAAAGTCTTCTAGATGAGGGTTGCTGACCTTCTCACTGCTGCAGAACTGTTTTGACTACATATTGATCTGTGAAGAGGTAGAGAATGCAAGGGCAGGTTTGCAGGGAGGTGAGTAAGAGTAACTTTGTTCTGAGATCTGAGAATAAGGATGAATGTTCTCTCTGATATGCAGATGCTGACTTACAATAGTTAGGGTTGTGGGGGTAGTGGAGGTTCACCAGATTGGACTGGGGCAGGGGAAGGGAGGAGGGACAGGGAATGGGAAAGACAGTAGAATGAATCAGACATCACTTTCCTGTGTTCATCTATGAATACACGACCAGTATAACTCCACATCATGTACAACCACAAGAATGGGGAGTTATACTCCATGTATGTATAGTGTGTCAAAATGTGTTCTACTATTATGTATAACTAAAGTGAACAAAATAAAAAACTTTAAAAAATGAAAGAAGAGATCACCAGAGTTGCAGAGGGAAGAGGAGGGCTGAATAGGTACTGTGGGCTGAACTAGGCTGAACATGCATTTACATCTTCCTTTTTCTTTTCTTTTTTTTTTTTTTGTTGTTGTTGTTTTTAGATACACATGACAGTAGGGTGTATTCTGACATATTATGCATACATGGGGTGCAACCCATCCCAGTTAGAATCCCATTCTTGTGGTTGAACATGATGTGGGGTTACCCCTTCCCTTCCCAATTTCCCTTTGTCTAATCCAATGAATTTCTAATCTTCCCCTGTCTTATTGTGTGTTCGCATCAGAGAGAACATTTGACCTTTGGTTTTTATTTATTTATTTATATATATTTTTTATTATTTTTTT